CTTTCTCTATCCACTCCCAAATAGAACAGCTCCCCGAGAAAAGATCACCCAACCCACTATATTAATAGTTGATAGACAGTTGTTTCCATATCTTGGCTGTTGTGAACAGTATCACTGTAGACGGGATGTGCAGGTGTCACTGTGGTATGCCACCTTAGATTCCTTTGGTATAACACCAAGAAGTAATGTAGTTGGATTGTATCAGGTAGTTTTATTTTCAGATTTTTGAGGAATCCAAGAATACTGATTCCTATGACTGACTAACTTACATTATCACCAGCAGTGTTTATTGTTGTTGTTTATTCTGTATGGTAGATTCTGATTTGACCCTCACTGAAAATGTGATAAAACAGCAATGGAAAGCCTTTTTCAAATGTGCAAGCATTTGAGGCTGGTCTGTGGGCGGCTTTATCTTGCCATCAGTTTTTGTAGAAACTAAATTATATTTACAAGACATAAGTGCACCTGCTTCATATCTTGTCGAGAAATTTTTATTATAGCTACAACATGTTTATGACAGACATCCAGGGGTTTTGGAAGCTCCTAGAATGTCCATCAGGATTGTCCACCATCTTCTCTTCAGCCCCACATGAACTCTTCCTATGATAAGGACCACCAGGACTTTCCAGGAAAGGGTGGTCTCATGACTAAGGCACAGGGTAACTCAGGGACACTGGGAGGTATGCTGGCCCAGCCCTGGCATCCCAGTGTCCCTGAGTTCTTCTGTGGTGAGGCTGATTTAGGACAGGGCACAAAGGCACACACCAGACAATTTCCCCCTCCACCTTGAATGGAGTATGAAAGACCAGAGACGGGCAATATGGCAGTGTAAAGGGGTGGTCTTTCTCTGAATAGAGCAGACTACAGAAGATGGTAATATTTTCCCTAAAATAAATGACCACCTCACAATAAGTGAGTGAGTGTTTGGGTTGTCTTACAGATCGTGGAGAACAGAGAATGTTGCAAAGGATCTACTATCATCCCACACTAACTGCTCAGGTTCATTTATCCTTAATTAGAGTTCTTTGCAGCCTGGTGTACAAACAGATTGAGAGTCGTCTATGCAAAGGGGACATCTTGAAAAAAAAAAAAAGCAATGCATCAAAACGAGCTTGGTTACTGAATACAGCACTTTTCTCTTTCTAACTCTGACTTACTGAAAACTAAGAGACAGTCTTAAAATTTTAGCCATGTTGGAGTACATTTATCTCAGTTTCAAGGTGCCTGACATATCTTGGCATGTAATTTTGCTTTCACGAAGTATGAGTTATAGCTCTTCCATCTAGAGTGTCTAGAGTCCCAATGAACTATTAATTAGGATGTGAGTAGTCAGTCAAAACTAGAGCTTCTTTTATGCCCTGAAAACTGATGCCAGAGCTAGAGACATGGCCCAGTGGGTAAATGCTTTTACCAGGCATGCAAGTATAAGGATCTGAGTTTGAATCCCCCAAAGCCACATGAAAGCCAGATGCACAGTGTAAACATAGAGAGGTGGGAAATGGAAATGAGAACCACGGGAAGCTTGCAGGAAAGCCACCCTGTCATATGCTATGGAAAACCAACCCACAAAGAGATTCTGTCTCAGACTAGATGGAAGGCAAGGACCATCACCAGGAGTTGTCTTCAGACCTCCAAATGCACAGACCTCCAATATTCACACACACTAATGTACACCCCCCCACACACACACATAGAGGCAGGGGTGAAGCTACACAACAGAGATAGCATGAAATGATTTGTGAGGGACACGTTCTATTCCCCCTGAAATTATGTGTTGCAATGAAATCATTTAAAACCTGTTCAGACATTGTTGCATTGTAAAAGTGATCTAGCTTCTCAAAAAGCTCAAAAAGGAATTTTGAGTGTACTGCGGTACGGAACCAGTCAGTTCTCTCTGCCTACCACATGCATGTTTCTTGTTTGAAGATTTGGTTGCTGCCCACGTGTGTGCTGATGTTAATCAGAATACCTTCGCGATTGTCCCACTAGAAATTTTAGGTAGTCACGGTATTTGTGGCCTAGAGAAAAGGAAAGAAGGCTTTACACAAAGAACTTACTGCTGACTCTTATCAAGAAATGCTGTGTGGGTCTGGGGGATGCTGTTCAGTGCTGTAGTGCTTGCAAGGCGTGCACGAGGCCCTGGGATGGATCCCTGGCACTAGAAAAGCAAGCAAGGATGAACAGGAGAGAGGGAAATAAAGACAGATACTATGGCCCATTATGATACACATGAAGATATGCATATAACACATGTGATTGTATATGTTAATGTACACCACAAATGCTTATAGCAAAAAAGTCATGAAATGAACTTAATGATTTTCCTGATTACTTGAATTGTGATTAAATATTTTCATTTCTGCCAAATTTTCCAAGATGCTATATAGATTGCTAAATTGATTTCACAGCTCATAGACTGAATTCACTAATGGAGTAGTCGCCCATATCCACTAGTGCATGACTACAGCATCATTGTCAGCGGGGCCAGATACTTAAAACGGTGCCATATTTTAACCTCGAAGTTAACACGAAGAATTATACACTCTGTGGTTCATTTGGTCAGGCCAATTTGCTGCGAAATGACCTTTCCTTAAATTGCATTTGCTGAAGGCATGACTAATAGTCCTTTATTGTATTAAAGGCTCAACAGAAATCAGTTGTTAGATGGGTGGACATGTTTTACTCTTTGACACTACATTGTTTGAAATGTCAATAGCAATTTACCTTGTGGAACCATAAAGGAAAGAATACACATACTTTTAGGCTAGATCTCTAGGTGCCGGCCCTACACACTGGCCATAATGTTTCACATCTTTGTGTGTGTGTATATGTGTGTGTGTACATATATGTGTGTGTGCATATATGTGTGTGTACATATACACATGTGTATATGTATATGTAGTGATACGAAAATAAATCCTTTGTGTCTGGCTTTGAGAGAAATGTTTCAGCAAAGCCCTTGCTATGTTTGCGTTGATCAATAGAGGCTTAGAAATTGTTTTGAGACTGTTCGAACCTTGAAAACATGTTCTTTCTCTGAAGAGTCTGCACTTGGTGCTACGTGAGAAGTTGCAGCTCCTTCCTTGGATCTAAGACAGTCCTGCCAGACCTGGCTAAACACTCCTGGCTAGCCATAATCAAAAGAGACCGAAATTTGTGTGGGTTGTCTGTTCTCACAGGCTACAAGAGCAGGATAATTTTGTTAGCTGGAACCTTTCCCAGCCTCATTTAACCTTGTATATGTTTGACTAAAGTAACTGGGTGAGCTAGCTGCATGCCAGTCTTTTCCACGTAAGCTGAATCCCTCTGCTCCTTTAGAAAATGAAGGCTTAGCATCTAGGTGACCTTCTCTCTCTACTGCAACATCTATACATATATATGATAGATGTGTGTATTTGGTTCTTTGAGGCAGGGTTTCTCTGTGTAGCCTTGGCTGTGCTGGAACTTGCTCTGTAGACCAGGCTGGCCTCAAACTCAGAGAGATCTACCTGCCTCTGCCTCTGCCTCTGCCTCTGCCTCTGCCTCTGCCTCTGCCTCTGCCTCTGCCTCTGCCTCTGCCTCTGCCTCTGCCTCTGCCTCTGCCTCTGCCTCTGCCTCTGCCTCTGCCTCTGCCTCTGCCTCCAGAGTGCTGGGATTAAAGGCATGCGCCACCACCACCCAGCCTAAAACAATATATTTAAGATAATAATTTAAAGCAAATATAAGTAATATTTTCTGAGTCAATTGTTGCAAAATTTGGGGTCAAGACTTTTTTGAAGTTATGATGAAATCTATAATTCGCCTGCCAGACTAGACCAAATTTTAATTGAGTAGACTCTTCCTTGAGAGCCTTTCTCCTGAGGAGTTCATCCACTACTCAGTCATACCATCTCTTCAAGTCAGCCTGCGGCTCTTATTACTACCCTTTCTAGGGGCGTGGAAGAATTCTCCCCAGTGATTCCTGGCCCACTACTCCTGCCCCATGACAAACTCCTGTCCCATCCTTTAGTGAACAAATCTATAGAAGGTTCCGGGGCCCTGGGCTACTTTGTCCCAATTAGGAAACTTTGGTGGGCAAATTGGAGAAAGGTATCTGTCCCCTCCAGGTAATTCTGCCCCTACAGGGAGCGTGTGTGGTACATGCAGCACAGTTAGTCACTGCCTGAGCACAGAGTGGCTCAGGCAAGACTCCTGGTGGCTCACCATCGGTTACGAGACCTCAATTCAGTTTGAAGCACCCATGTGGGTGGCTTACAACCACCTATATGTAACTCCTGTTCCAGAAGATCTGACACTGTCTTCTGGTCTCCATGGGCATGAGCACACATATGCACATGCACACAAATAAATAAATATAGTACAATCTTTTCTATTTAAGTCAGAGGAATGCGCAAAAGATCCTATTTGGTACATATATGGCGCACACCCTTATGCTTGTACTCATTCAGCTGTCCTGTCTCCTGGATAGAGGTTAGAACCAGTCTAGGAGGTGACTTTGTCAGTATGACTGCCAGTATATCACCCCATCAGGCTGCAAGACCCCCTGCTGTGGGGTAGCAGCAAGGGACTAAAGATGGTGGGCAGCCCCCAGAGATGTTTACAGGTTCCCCACAGTCATGGGATGGGACACATCACAGTGCTTCTCTTTGCTTTAATGAATCAATTGAGATACTTATTTAAAAAGCATCAGAATGTTGTAACTTTTAATAGCTATCATGTAGACTGTCCAACACTGAGTGAGCGCAAGCCCCATCTAAATACCAAGGGACGCTGTGAGCCACATAAATGGGGTACCACTGCCACCTTCTGCCCACGTAGCTTAATTGCAATTTCAAGTTTGGGTAAGGCAGTAATGTGCCTGTATTCGTGATGGACATTTATACAGTGATAGAGAATGCACGCTGCTTGCTATGCCAGGGGAGGGAGAATGTGTTGCTAGAGTCGGCTTCGAATTTGCCCTTCCCACCTCACATTAGCTGTCCCAGGGCCCAGTCTCATGCGTTCTCTGCACTTCTTGGCAGGATTGGGGGCGCCATTCCGACCGTGTTCTCCTACTTTGCCGAAGTCCTAGCCCGGGAGAAGCGGGGTGAGCACCTCAGTTGGCTCTGCATGTTCTGGATGATTGGCGGAATCTACGCTTCGGCCATGGCCTGGGCCATCATCCCACACTACGGTAAGGGGCAGGCCGTGTTTCAGCTTCCCTCTCCATCTGCTTCCTCTCTGTCCTGAGCTCTGGCTTGGGGACAGAACTGTCCTCATCAGGCGTCTGCCATGCATAATGCTCTGGAGGAGTTCCTCTCCATGGAAAGGTCTGTATAACGTAAGACTGTGTCAAATGGTCCTTTGGGTGGATGGATAAAAGACAAGAGTCCTCCCATACCACTCTTATACAGTGCTGCTGGTCACTTCAGCCACCACTGTCCCCATAGGTGGGGTTCCATCAGTCTAACTCATCTCTGACACTGTCTCTCTAGGTTCAGAGTCAGGTCCCGAAGGTTGAGGACACAATCCTGCATGACCTCCACTTTCATTTCCAATGCTTCAAATGCCAGCTGCAGGTCCAGGCCTCCTGATTGACCAGCTAGAAATCTGGCCTTTCCCCAGCGCCCCCTCCCCGTGTCCCATTGCTTTCTATAGTGGCCCACAGATCTCAGGGAAATGCCTACCTTGAATTTCCCAGTTTATTTGCAAGACCTTTACAGAGATACAGGCAAGCTGTCAGATGAAGACATATGGGGAGGGTGAAGAGCCCCCGTACCTTCTCCAGGTTCACCCTTCTTAATGCTCTCCATGAGTTCTGCAGCAGGAAGTTCTCAAATCTCATAGTTCACAGGCCTGGTCAATTACTGACCCAGTCTTTAGCCAGGAGACAGGGTGCATAATTGTGGTATGTCTTTCTGGCTGCTCTGTGCAGGAACCCAAATTTAGATTCCAGTTGATTCTGAGCCAAAGGTGTCTTCCTGTGGCTAGTTCCTCCATGAGAATTGTCTTCTGCTACCTTCCTAGGATGTAGAGATGTCTCCTTTATCTGGGACTTAAGGACCTCAGCCACCCTCAGAACCTTAGGTTGTAGGGCAGTGTTGAGCCTGGGCCCTTCTCAGTACAGATTAACAAGACTCTTGAGAATTAGTGTGTGGGAACAAGAGTACGCAAAAGAAAACACAAACCTTTTGCAAGGTGCAGCCTTACTATCCATGGCTCTCAAAGCTATAGCTGGTCCACCCACATGCAGCCTTTGTGGTAATTAAAGTCAGGTACTTGTGGCTAGTGAGATAGATGATGGTTCGTTGGCTAGGCATATAGCTTTTGCAGAGGACCTGAGCTCAGTTCCCAGCACCCACATCAAACCGATCACAGCTGTCCAGAACCCCAGCCCCCTGGGTCCCCAACACCTCTGGCCTCTATGGGCACTGTGGCACTCACATGCACATACCCTCACCACAAACAAACACATGCAAGTAACTAAAAGTAATAAAAATAATTCATTAGAAAGTAAGACACCTTCTAGGTCGCCCAAATTTTAGCTCCATTCATCATTTTTGCACAGGTTCCAGGGAGATAGCTCTCTTGCTCTCTCTCGCTCACTCTCTCTCTCTCTCTCTCTTGCTCTCTCTCTCTCTCTCTCTTCATGCTCCTCTTTCTTTCCTTGCCTTCCCTCCCACTTGCTCCCACTTAACTCTCTCTAAGCCAGCTTTTGCCTTTGTCACATCCTCTCATGACACCTCGAGTCCTTGGCTATAGCCAAACCTCTCTGGAGCCCCTTGGCTCCTTGGGTTGATGGCAGATCCCTTCCTGGCCCTCCCTTCCCATCACATCACTCAGAGTCACATCTGCTGGCCTCACAGATGAGGCCATATATTAGCTTCTGCAAGCTGCTCATATGATTGCTTTTCTTTTGCTTTCCATGCTAAGGATTCTGCTTTTCTGACCACCCCACCACCACCACCACCCTTACACTTCCCTGTCTTGCAACTGTGCATGTCCTGAGAACTTTTTGGGTGGCCAGCCATCAGTGGCTAATCCACAGCAATGAGCGCGTGTAAGCTCTTTCATTTAGTACCAAAAAGAGCAAACTACTTCATCTGTAACTAATCCATCTATTAAAATCAATCCATGGCTAACTAATCTGTCTCTAGCTGGAATGGTAGATGGTCACAAATCACAAAGCTACTTGTAAAAAGTGAGAATGTAACTAAATGAAATGTCTGGGACTGACTCTAATTTTGATGTGTGTAGAACCTTGAGAAGTAATAGTAAATCAGTCACACAGTATTAAAATTTCAGGACGATATTTTCTTGAAGTCTTTACATGGCCATAAGTGTAGAACCAACAACAAATTATCCCAATCAGTCATGTCTGCAGATTAGTAGCAGCAGGAAGATCCTTGTAAAACACATTTGCTGGACTCACTGTTGTGCTGTTGGATCTGAAGAGTTTTGTTTGCTTTTTAAAAGTTAAAATTCAAGAGCTCCTCTGCTGAAGTATCTGACGGTGAGGCTGCTGTCACATGAGTGGGCTCTTTCAGGTGCCTTCAAAGATCCCTTAGTCAGGTGCTTAAGAACTGTGCACCTCGTCCTATGGAAAGTACACGTTTTTGTAAATATTTTCAGTAAGTTCTCCACTTCCCACAATCAAATCAGATCCTCTAGGCTGAGAACTCAGTGCTTTTATTTTTATTCTTTCTAGCATAGAGTAAGTATGGCCAATAAATACAAACTATATATAGATAATGTTCACAACCTAACTTTGTGTACACACAAGATGGCTCAGCCAGTAAAAGCTCTTGTCATGACCTGAGTTAGACACATGGAAACTCACATGGTGGACTGCACAAAGCTGTTCTCTGACCACACCAAGGTATACACACACACACACACACACACACACACACACACACACACACGTGCACGCATGCCATAAAATAAATGCACAGATACTTTTAAAGGAAATAGATCATTAAATGTTTAGGGGAAAGCTTTGTATTTTCACTGGAAATTCTGCTTTGTATGAATGATCCAGAAACCCACAGAAGCAGGAGCAGGTCATTTGCTCCTCCTCCAATACTTCGTCCTCTCTCACTGATGAGAACTTTGAGGACCATTTGTGTAGGGCGCTGTATGGAGGCATTTCAAAGCACAGTGCATGAACTTAGGTATTGATTGTCTCAAACCAACAACAAAGTTTGGTCTGGAGGGAAAGTGTGGATAATCTGCATCCACATGGCAGATGTGCTTCGGATAATGAGTGCACACATTTGGTTGGCTCATGTACACAAAGCTGTCTTGACTGCCCTGATTCAGGATGCTTCCTTCCTGCCTACAGGGCACCCATCAGTAGGGAGCCTGAGCCTGATGTCACTGAGATGCACTGGCTCCACACAAGCCTCCAAGGCAAAGCAGATCATAAGTTTGGACCAAGGGCTCTGAAAGGATTCTTGAGTAGTTAGATCCACCACTGGGATGGGGTTTGATGGCTTCATGGCCTGGTGAGTTAAGACATGAGCTGCTAATGCTGGGAGCTAATGCTAGATAATGGGATCGGCCTAGTTTTTGTACCAACATCAGATAATGATGCCACTTTCCCTCACATTATCAGTCTTTGGAAAAGTTGAAGCTTTATCCAGAGCCTGGCAGTTGCTAATATCTGAAGGTCTCCACCATAAATTCACTCACCTATAATCCTAGCACTAAGCAGGGCTGAGACAAAAGGATTGCCATAAGTTCAAATCCCTCTGAGCATCATAGCACATTTGAGCACACTTGGGCTACACAATGAAGCCCTGCCTTAGTCTCCATCTACTCCCTATCCCCATCCCCATCCCCTGCCCCTCCCCACCCCACCCCACCCCACCTCCTGCCAGCTAACTAGGTCCTCAGGCATATTCCTTACTCACCCCCTTCACTCAGGAGCTACCGGGCTGTCTAACTGGCTCCCAGGGGTGGGGGAGGAGACAGTAAAGCCAGGGGGCATGCCCTGGCCTCAAACATTAGGTGCTAACACCTGCAACTAGGTGTGGAACATGGCTAACCTGGGTACACACCATCAAACCCAGGCTTCTGATCCCAGTGGAAACTGGCTACCAGCACATAAAGGAACAGGCCAGGTTTTTCTCTCTTTCAGAAGTTATTATTGCCAAAGTTGTATATATCTGCAGAGTACAATATTTATGTTGATATTATTCATAATGATCATAGCATGCCTCTCTTTCTACTATATGAATTCTGAGAATCAAACTCCAGAGTCCACAGCAAGCAGCTTTACCCACTCAGCAGCCCCAGGGTGAGTCTCTGTCAGCACTTGTAAATCACACAGTGACAAATGGAAACTTGTAGGTGGCTTTGTTATGCTGATATAATGTTCTTGGATGTAAACCCAGAAGAGGCTGGCACCTGTGTGCACTTGGTTTTCCATTCTTGGGACATACTTTAAAGATATTACATTTGTTTATTCATTTATTTATTGTTGTATGTGTGTGCATGTGCACGTATGTGTAATGTAGCACATGTGTAGAGCACAGGTGATAACTTAACAGGAGTCCTTTCTCTATTTGCACCATGTGGGTCATGGAGATGGAAATCGGGTCAACAGGCTTAGTGGCAAACATCTTTACCAACTGAGCCAGCACCAAGCCTCTCGAGGCATCTTCACACTGTCGTCTGTGGTAGTTCTACATGCACATTCCTAACAGCGATGCTCAAGAGCTTCCCTTTTCCCTCCACTCTCAGAGCCATTGGTTGTCTGTTTTAGGACAGCTGTTCTGACTGAGGTGATGGTCTCCCACTGAATGTGGGTGGAAACAAGCAGTATTTTCAGAAGCAGACACAGCTCAGATGGAAAAGTCCTCCCCACATTCCACTCCTTCTCCCTCTGCACACTCTCCGGTAATGAGAACACATCAGCATTTAATGGAAACGCAATTACCTTCAGCGGAAAATGGGAGCAGGGGCTGACTCATCACCCTGGTCCTCCCATCTGAAGCTTTCAGTGAGGCCCTTGACGCGGGGGCTGCTACTTCTCTACAGTGCTGTCTGCTCCATTACACTCCCTGTTATTCTGCTTGGATGTGCATCAGATGATGTGTTCTCCTCTGCTGGGTACATCCCAGCGAGTAACAAGGATGCTCAATCAAGGGAGGGGATTTTAAGCATAAGGAGCCTTGGACCTAAAAGCTC